AAAAGAAATAGGGATTTCAAATGTCTATTGCAAAACGATTACCAAAGTTGAAAACAATTTACAAGATAACTTTTTTGTCTTCCAAAATACTTTTTTGACAGTAAATTAGTATTCTAATATAAACAAAACCAAAGCTACATGTTCAAAAACATGAATGTATACTTTCAACTTCAACTTTATTTGATCACTCAGACACATTACATACGTGTAACAAGGGGAATACAATATTTACTTATATACAAACAATACAAAACAATGGTTGGTATGGAAAAAAAAAGAGAATATATTATTATACAATCAATTCACAAAATGTTTATAAGTTTACTAATAAACAGTGATAACTTTTTTTTTAAACTTTTACGTTACATAGTGATAATAAGCCTATCATTTTTTGATAACATGGATATCTAGTAAAGTAAATAGGAATATGTTTATTTCGTATGTCTACCATTGTCGGAAACAGACATTCAAAAAGGTAATGAAATTCAGTGCCAATTCCTATATGACATATTCTTTCTTCTTTTTTTCTACATAGAAAAAGAGGCTCTAGATATTGTATCGAATGCCTAGATAACTAACTTCAATAAGAAAACTGGATCACCTGTTGGAAAAATTGTTTAGTTTTGATTTTTGTTCTACAACGTGTTGGTTGTTGTTTGTAATGCATGTTGCTGTAGTGTCTGTTAGTTTTGAACTTCTTAGAATATTTTTGTATTTACTATTTTAATATGATAGCTCAGTCACCATATCGAAAAGTTTTGATTTAAGCTTTTGTCATCATTTTCTATTTGCCGTCAGAAACATTTTAGGTCATATGATATACAATTCTTCTGAATATACATGAAACACTTGCCACTGGACATGAAGCAAACTTCAGTCAATCGATTAACTTTTATTGACAGAAACATCGTGTTTTAATTCCGAAAGAATCAATAAAACGACAGAGTCGACAGTCTGCAGCTTAAAAAAGCCTTTGTTTGTTGTCCCGGATTCATTTCACGTCATCACGTGATTGGACGATTCTGAGAAATACCCTTCTACCACTTGTATTGATTATCTCTATGGAAAGTTTCATGAAAAATTCTAAATTGGTATTAATTTTTTGCAATATTTTATATATCTAACTTAATGCTTTGCTTGGTATTGCTAGAAATTTGCAAATCTGTAATTCGTTTATTATTCAAAATTAACGCAAAATACATAAAAGATGATAAATTTCGTAAACACTATGTTAATTGTGAGTCTATTCCAAGATCCATTGTAAACTCCAGTCGCTTTTACTTGTGAACTGTTGTTTTGAACAAGTTTACCAGATTCAATATTCCAACTGTGTCAGAACAAGATTTTTTCGACTTTGTTTCGATATGATAAAAATATGACGAGTTCGTGATGGCGGCTGTTTAACATAACCGATCGAGTAGCTGTAGCTAAGAAGAAAATATGTGATTTGTGTATTTACTTCATTTGCATGTTCGCTTCCAGTGTAGCAACCTTGAACTTTGTTTTATGAAAACTCCTAATAGCATAGCGCAGTGATTAAATTTAGCAATGGCTATCTTTAATGCTTTCAAGCTTTATTCTTCCTACAACTTTAAACTTCAGCTCTACCGAACCTTTATGATTATTGCAAACACTTAACTTAAAATTCAAACACGATATGTGTGTGTTTTATTTTTTGCTGTTTTTTTGTTGTTGTTTTGTTCTTTTTATTCTTTTTAATCGGATGGGGTAATATTTTTATTGTTGTTATTATTATTATTATTATTTTCTTTTTGAATGGTCAAAAAATATCAAAAACAAATATGTACAAAGTTAAAAAGTACAATTTTTTTTCTGTAATAATGCTTTGGTAAGCATCAAAGGTTTATAATATGGGTCAGTTAAAATTATTGACGGACATTACGGTAAAATCTACGGAATCCGACCAAAATCGAAAACTTAATCAAAACAAAAAAAAATGCAATCTCGAGTTTAAATATATTGTCATAAAAAGGAGTTATGATTTAACGAAACAAAAGTGTTATAGCACTAAGACAAAAATATAAATATTTTCTTTCACTTTGAAAAGTAATTTCAGACGAAAATTATACAAGAGAATAAATATTTTAAAAGGATAAAATCAATAGTAAATAAGAAAATTTTTATGAAAGCATTTTATCTTTTGAATTTTATAGATATTGTGTATTGAACAAGGAATAATTTTGAAAACTTTCAACCTTAAACATATAGATGTTTAGAAGATATTAAGTGTATCTAAATTTGCCGAAGAATATTTAAGGATAAATATGTATTTTCAGAGACACCGAGTTCTTATTCCGGGAGAGGAAATCCAAAAGAGGAGAGATCGTCAGTCCGTGGCTTTATTTGTTTTACCAGACGATGATGCAATAATCCGGTGCCTGGACAACTCGAACAAATATGAACCAATCACAAGTCATAATTATTTGAATATGAGATTTTTTGAAAAATTTTAATAATCACTCCAATAAAATCATACTAACATGAAGTTTACTTGTTTTTATTCAACCGTCAACAAGGAATTGTACGTATTGTTATAGCAAGCATTAAGCCAACATCTTTATGTGAATATGTCCGACTGAATCTTAAAAAGTTTGCTTAAAAACTAGACAGTTATTGAAACAAGAAAAAGAAGTTGAAAATAGTGAGAACAAAATAAAACCAAGGTTATTCAGAAATATGTGAGAATAAACCACCGATATATACACAAATACACAAACACAGATTGGTCATTTAATTTATATTGACGTTTTATAAAAAAAAATACCACTGATGCTACGGATCTTTAGCTACGGATATGACTCAATAATAGTAAACTAATCTAGTGTTTGTAGCTTCATTTTTTTGTGTAACGCGAAGTGTTTAAAAAAAAAAAAATACATGCATATGGACGTTTTATGATCTGAAGGTGCTAGTATTCAATACATGTCAGTTTTGATTCAAACCATTTCATAAATTAATTTATTATAATAATTATAAGCGCAACTTTATTTTTATAGAATGCAATATTCAACGCAGACACAAAACGCTTTTTACAAAAGGGCAATCCCCCTTAATTCAAAAGAAAACGTTTGAACTGATTTTTGTAGTGTTTGAACTGATGTTTGTAGTTTGTTCTTATGTTGTGCCGTTACAAATATTTCCCAGGTTAGAGGTACGGTTGAGCGCCCGCAAAAATATTAAACCCCGCCAGATTCTGTATGTGCCTGTCTAAAGTCAAAAGCCTGTTATTCAGTGGTTGTCGTTTGTAACTGTACGTCATATTTGCTTTTCGTTTATTGTTTTGGACATAAATCAAGCTATTAGTTTTCTCGTTTGAATTGATTTACATTTTTTCATTTCGGAGCCTTTTATAGCTTGCTATGCAGTATTGGTTTTACTCATTGTTGAAGTTCGTACGGTGAAATTTAATTGCTAACGTGTACATCATTTGGTCTCTGATGGAGAGTTGTCTCATTGGCAGTCATACAACATCTTATTTCTATATTAGATAGCATGTAATGCAGTGGTTGTTGGTTGCTGTCATATTAGCTTTTCGTTTGTTTTTTTTTTTTTATCATAAACCAAGACGTTGGGTTTTTCGTTTGGATTGTTTAATGGCCTTTTAGCTGACTATACGATATGGGATTGACTCATTGTTGAAAATCGTACGATGACAACCATTTCATTTGGATTCTGGTGAATACATGTAGTTGCCTCGTTGGCAATCCTACCACTAAAACATCTTTTATTTTTATATCGAACAGAATAACTAAAATATTCTGAGATCGATTTGCTAAATGATTTCAAAATGTTTTATTTTAGCATAAAAATTAAATTAACCGAGTCAAACATCTCACAGCAGTCTTCTCCTCAATGATAAGGACATTGAACCTAATTTTTACACCTGAAAAGATTACTACCTACACCACGTTTGCATGCGGCGGCCGCCGAAATAAATCTTGTATTTTACAGTGAAATACAGGATTTATTTCACCACGTGACATTGGTTTATATTTGACTTGGAAATGAAGGTACAATTTAATTTTCACTCAACTGACGTAATACAACAATAGACGTGGTTGTGCCATTGTCAACAAGCTTGCGTCATAAACACAACCTGTTCTTCATAAAGTACGATCGTACTAGTGTGTTCATGATTGTCATGTTGGCTGTAGGAGAGTGCCAAACTCCTAGGTTATAGAAATATAAGGGTATGTATTTCATGATTTGTGAAGAGTAAGCTCACTGGAAGCTGATATTATTGCGCATCCCATTTTATTTCAGGTTGATCTAATATTATTCAGTTTAAGTTTTCGCCTTGATCTGTCAAAATGTAATTTATGTAGCATGCCAATGGTGAAGCATTGGCTACTAGGTTGAACATACATTGTATCCTCATTTCCAAGTCAAATAGAAAACGATGTTACAAAGAGAAATAAATTTTGTATTTCACTGTGTCTTGTATTTTACAGTGAAATACAGGATTTATTTCACCACGTGACATTGGTTTATATTTGACTTGGAAATGAGGGTACAATTTATTTTTCACTCAACTGACGTAATACAACAATAGACGTGGTTGTGCCATTGTCAACAAGCTTGCGTCAAAACGAAGAGAGGGTAGTCCTTGCATTTTTCATAAGCGAACGAATGTCGGGTGACATATTGTTCCTCAGTTTCTTTTTTTTTTGTACTAATATTTTTCTTCCACTTGTTTTGTCCGTGCAATTTCTCGGGTACTATAGGACAAATATTCATGAAAATATACCATAACAAAGAACCACCATATGTGGATGTGTATTTAGACTTTGGAATTTTAAAAGGATAATATATTTTGTTACATTAGAAATTCGTATTCTACAAAATTAAAGCCCAGTTTAAGCGAGATTAGTTCGTGTTTTTGAACAGCCATTGATACAAACAGCACGGGAAGCGAAATACACAAATCATAAGTGATCGATCTGACAATAATATTTAATTATGTTAATTTGGTATGAACATACCAGCCAAATCTGCGCATGTACAATGTTGCAACCTTGATTGATGTATCACATAATTTGTAAAATGAAAATTTAATGTAACAATGACTCAAAAGATCAAGACAATACCTGCACCCATAGATGTTACATATGCCTATATTTTTTTTTTAATTTTTACTTTTCAACACTAGTAAACTAATAGTATTATAGTTAATACAAATAACCGTATCAACTTTGATTTTGTAAGCCTTCAAAATTTTTCATAGAATCTCATATTCAAATAATCCCTACTCGTAATTGGTTCGTATTTATTTGAGTTGTCAAGACAATAAATGGTGGCATCTTCATCAGGATTTACAAAGAAAGCTAAGGACTGTCGGTCAACCCTTTTCTTTATCTCTTCAGTCGGAATAAGAACTCTGTGCTTCTGTAAAAAAAGAACAAATGCTCATGTGCTTTGGCAATTGAAGAAACAAATGCTATAATCATGTCTGTTATGTGCGTCAAAAGATATACGTCCATAAGACATTAACCAAAATGCAATTAAAAGACATTTTCTTCTTTGACAATTTTAAACAAATGCCCCTAATGGCGAACGAACTGCTTATTGATCTAAGGCATTTGAGCAGTCAACATCCCCTCTCATTTTTTTCGGGATCATGTTGATCAATGTTTTTATTTGTTTATTTGTTTATGATTACTCTATTTGTATCTTAAATAAAAAAAGGACTGGCTATGATTTGCCATATCCAAATTTACTGTAGATTTTTTTAATCTTATGATCCCTATTATGCCAACCCGAACGAATGTCGGGTAACATTTTGTTCCTCTGTTTCTTTTTTTTTTTGCGACTTAATGAGTTTGAATGTCCATTTGGTATCTTTCGCCTCTCTTGTACTAATATTTTTCTTCCACTTTTTAGTCCGTGTGATTTGTCAGATACTATTGGACAAATATTCACGAAAATATACCATAACAAAGAACCACCATATGTGGATGTGTATTTAGACTTTGGAATTTAAAAAGGGCTGTATTACCATGATTACCATGGAAACAACAATAATGTAAAAAAAAGTGGTTTTTGAAGACTAATTTCTTACTAGTACGACTTAAGTAAAAAACTTGAAATTTTTATGCAATGTAAGTGTCCACTTAATACAGGTTTTGTATAATTTTGAGAGGCTTTGGAACTGCTATGCAGCAGCTTTATTTCGAATATGTTTAACATAGAACCCTATTGGAAAACACATACTAGTAAGTAGCATTCTCAAACTAAAGATCAAATGTATCAAAGTTTTATAGATATGTTTTATATAATCTTTAAATCGGAATAGTTTTCAAAATTTTCAAAAAAGGCAACGGTCGCCATGAAAAGAGCAAAAAATTTGAAAATTTTCAAAATGCTCAAAACTTTGTGAAACTTTACAGAAATGTTAACTGGCATATGCAGTTGAGGTGTTTGACTTTAGAATTTTGAAATAACTGCCGTTTAGTGGTAATTTTCGGAACCGGGTGACACCCTCTATTGCTTGCAATTGCAATTCTAGTTATAATTATTATTTTTAATTTCATGATTCTTATTCTGATTCTGATAATCATTATAAATATCATTATAACTATAATTCCAAAAGTGCCTTTCATAACAAATTATAGTATATTGCTAATGACATCAGAAGGAAAAAACCTGTGAATATATTCAATTTATATATACATGTACATGTATATATAAATATAGTTAACGATGATTCAACATGGCATGATATATTTCAAGCTGATCTGCACTGAATGTTTGTAATCTATAACTAAATTATTGTATGACAAGGTAATTGCTTGGTTGTATGAATTGAATTTGTACCATTTTAAAAGTTGAACTTCAAGCGGACTAAAAAAAACTCAATAATGTGATTGTAATAGTCTTGTGTTATAAATGCAATTTAGGCATTCATAAGAGAAAGAACTACAATAATCTTTGTAACTTCGAAACTAAGAATTTATTACTTTTATGAAAATTGTCGACATAATTCTACCAGTTATTGTTTAAGAATTAGACTCCTTTACCTCAGACTGCATTGTACCTCCTTACATATCTTTTCAAACTTGATAATGTTACAAAACTATACAAATATTATAATAGTCTGGACAAAGATGACTTTTATAATTTAATTTCATTTGTGATCAATGATAATAAAATAGACTTTGTGAGGAACAACTAACATTTGCAATAAGTTTGTCTGCTGTCCATCTTTGCATTAAATCCCCAATGTTTACAACAATAGTTCCTGGAATAGGAGGAGCTTGAATATATTCTCCATCACGTGATTTTACCTAAAATGGTGTTATATATATTAATTAATGAATAAAAGAAGATATGGAGTATACATTTAATAAGGCAGCAAACCAACATGAAACATTACCAAAAAAGAAAAAAAAAACACTTTATATAAATGCGTCCGCTTTTCTTGATTAACCTTCATGAGGAACGCTGAAAGCCAAAAAATTGGAAACCAAGGATGTTTTAGTACCTAACCATTTGAAGAGAGCTACATGTATATGACCGAAAAAGAACTAAAACTCATAGCCAAATCCACATTTAGGTTAACTTTGCATGAAAAAAAGTAGCGACAGATACCAAAGAGACATTCAAACTCATAAGTCGAAAACAAACTGACAACGCCATGACTAAAAAAGAAAACAGACAAACAACAGTACACAAAATACAACATAAAAATAAAGACTGAGCAACAAAAACCCCTTCAAAATCTGGGGGTGATCTCATGTATTCCGGAAGGGTAAGCAGATCCTGCTCCACATGTGGCACCCGTCGTGTTGCTTACGTAAGTATAAACCCATTGATAAGTCTAATTCGGTAGGTCACATTCGGGGAAAAGTGGACGGGATTGTAGTTACGACAATTGGAACATATCCGTCATCATCTGTGAAACAGATATTCCATAACGGTCAACCAACTCGTAATGGCGACCGTAATATTTAGAATGATTTCAACTTCACCATTTGGGACTCTTGGTTTAATAGCTCACGACTTCCTTGTGAGCATCAACCCTTTGTCGAGGAAATCATGATAGAAAATACAAGCCCTGGAATATCGTATCAACTGGGAAATATACTCTGTATACTCCGCATGCAGGCTATGCTGAAATTGTACTGCATAGAAATGGAAAGATCACAATTGGGAAGCTGAAATCATATCTTTTGTCGATAAGTTTTTTTTTTGTTTTCTACCGACCCTCATTGTCAATTTCTAGATGTTAGTCAAAGAAAGAGTTAGAGCCTTAGTTTCTGCATAATATCTAAGTTTATTAACGGACATTTTAAGAAAATTTTGTTATAAGTCATGTCAGTACAAATTTAAAGCACTGACTACTGAACTGATGATACTGTCTGGCATTTATAGTCCTGCATCAGTATTATCGATCCAGTTCTACATACATGTATCATAAATTAAAATACACTTTTTAAATTGTATGCGTCCGAAGCACTTTACTGGATTTATCTTCATCAGGAACGCTCAAAGCATACACCTTGAAAGCCAAGGATGTATAAGTAAAGATACCGGGGTTCAAAAGTCATAAATCGATTTAGAGAAAACAAATCTGGGTTACAAACCAAAATCGAGGGAAACACATCAACTATAAAAGGGAAAAAAGAACAACAGGAACACCGAAGTGAAACAAACACATAACGCCAACACACATAGAAACGATCTATTTGATAACAACTGCCATATTACTGACTTGGTAAAACGGACCTATCATACAAAATACCAAAGACATATATGCTATAATTAAATTAGCAAATATCACAAATATCTGACGTAGTAAGAAGGAAATAAATTCCGAGTGATCATCAAATATTGGCGTTATCTTAGTGAGACACATCATTTGGTTCTGACCGTGTTCCTACTTTTTTGCAAAAAATGTTCCAGATATTTTTCCATGACATGGCAATAATGGTATCACCAGACATTGATTAAGAAACCGTCTAAAGTTACTTTCGGTTTTAAAAACATTATGACAAGATTCTCTATACTTAAATTATTGTCAACTGCAGAATACCGTGGTGAAAGCAGTTAGAAATGCGAAAGGAAAAACAATAAAAAAACAAACCCCTCTTCATTAAAGATTCAATGTATTTCTCAGGATTAATTTTATCAATTTGCAGGAAATTCAAAGGCACTCTAAGGTAAATCGGTAACCTTGTATGGAGAGATTGTAAACAGGATAAAGAAATACGATACAAAAAGGGTGGAAATACGATAGATAAGAAAATAAGAAATAAAAATAAGCTTGAATTTTTAAGAAATCAACTTACATAAATTACCAGAATGCGAGACAACTAAATGACTATGGAATTGTGTCTCTTAATAAATCGTTCAAAACGATCAACGTTTTCTCTTTACGTGTGTTTTGGAAAGTTAAAGCAATTGATGTCATATTAAAACAAAAAATGTCTGTTTTGCTTTTTCTCAACCTGATTTATAAATGCATACGCTAGATTTCCTCATTGAGATGCCTATTTTATTTTGAACTATTTGTTGAACTCAAATCACATCAACATGATTACTTACTGGAAACGTTCTTTCACTTTTGTTGCGTAAAAAATCTATGATCAAATATACAAGTCACTTAAAATGTTTACCTCTAACCCTCCAATATTGTCTTGGAAAAGCAATGTAAGGGTACCATAATCGGAATGTTCACCACATCTAACTTGGCCTTCTATGATTTCTGCAGATAAATATTAACTTACATTATAACTGTGTCAGAAAGTTTCACAATATATACATCCTAAATACAGTTGCACAAAACATCTTAACTGATTCACTTTGTTCATCTTGCTAATCAAAGTTATCGTTGTTTCATCGTGAAAGTTCGAAAGTTGAATATGTACAGTTGTACATCGTAAACATTCTTTTATGTTTTTTATCTCAACATTTTCTATAAAGAGTGTGATATCAATTCGCAATATTTTAATATGATTTTGTTATTATAAAATGATGTATAATTACGATGATTCTTGACCCCAGTCGTTCAGATTAAGATTTTACGTTAATTTTTTTTTGCATGTGTAAATGCTACTGCAGATTTAATGGATAAAAAAATATCCTACGAATAATATATTCTAAAAGGCGTGGTGGTAAACATATATCTGCGACTTTTTTCTTTGGAACCACGATATAATAGAAACTGTCTGATATTACATGTTGGTATTTCACTTTAAATTGCGAGTCCCTTTCCCACTTAATGTTTGAACGATTTCGAAAATATCAGTTGATAAACCTTTTTTGGAACCAATATAACCTAAAATTTACATTTACCTTTTGTAGAGGCCACTGCAGGATAAAATATACTTCTGATATTAGATATGTTTCCTTTGTTCCCTATAAAACTATGATACTTTCTCAGGAAATGTTTGTCCTTAAACATGTAAGAAATATATTGCTACAGTATTATTTTGAACCGATATATCATGTTATGGAGGGGTATTTGCGAAAAATACCAGTCAAGGGTATGCAAAATTTCCCGAGCCGCGAGGGAAATTTGGTCCCAAGACTGGTATTTTTCGCAAATACCCCTCCATAACATGATATATCTGTTTAATTACACCGAACAGATTTTGATTGAAACTCTCTGTACAGGTAAAGGGAAATCGTGTTTACTAGTAAGCTCTAATCCATAAAGTAACATGTTTATGCATAATAATGAGGATAAGTTGAGAATTATACATGTACTTATACGCGTTAGCTCTGTCTTTGTGTAACGTCATATCCAAATAATTTTCGCGGGAAGAGGCTCGAGATGGTAAAAAAGTAATATCCAAAATGATAAATACCACGGCATAGAATGGAATTTGGGGCATATTCACCGGCAGTGGTGAAAACAGCCAAATTCGTTTGAAATGAGGAAAAAAAAGGTTAGAATATGCGTAAAATACACTGGCTACCAACCAATCAAAATCCGGCATTCTTATGTAAGGTGTAATTAAGACTTAAACATCCTGTTTTATCGACCAAATTGTAAACACCAGTAATGGCTTACCAATTGTTATATGCAGTGTAACTACATTCAAAATTCAACATATTGGCCTTTTTTTTTGTGCACGGGATCGACATCGCTGCATAACATTTGCGCTTTTGATAGGATATTTGCGCTTTTTGATAGGACATTTGCGCTTTTTGAAATAGATATTTGCGCTTCAATTATTACGACTTTTGCGCTCTCTAAAAATGGACATTTGTTCTTTATCGTACTGTACATTTGCTCTTTTGCAACAAACAATTTGAGGTTTGGTGTTTGAGAATTTAGACAACAGAATACAGTTGTATAAAATGTGACATGTCATCAGAATATTGTTGGTTGTCCCTTTTTGTCCTGTGTCACTGGATGCTAGATCAGACCTAATAGCCGTTCTAACTCGTTCATCAACCGGTCCTTCTGATGAAACGCATATAGGGGACGTTAGGTGCTATGGAATACATAATTGTGCCCGTTTGTCTTTATTTCATTCCATGCAACCCTCACATTTTGTAGTTTCAAAACTACATGTACATATATATAATATATTCAAAACGCCTACATCCTGTTTTTTAATTTGTTACGTTTCACAAATAAACTGTATTCACTTGCTTCACTAAAAAAGATAAACTGAATTTTAATATAATAATTTGTTAGATCTGAATTTATACCTGCTATTTTTTGCCGCTTTGTTAATATATGCCCATCATTTATAAACCATTATAAAACAGTTATATTAGTAAACAAACTTCGCAGTTTACGGGGTACTCTGTGTAACTTTCAATGACAGCGAGAGGTAAATTGACTTTGTCTGTTTCTTCTCCTTACCGCAAGTTTCAACTGCTATTATATTTCTACATCAAATTAAGATTGTATTCGTGCCCTAGAATTTATATTCGACGATGGTAACAAATAGATGCAAAATGTAGTCAGGACATGCATACATTGTGCATGTAAAAATGTGTGAACATTTAGTTTTTATCATCTGTTGATCAGGAATAAAGACGCATTAACTGTTGGTCATGTTTACAAGTATACACACCTCTAACTTCAAACCAACAGATATAACGTCAAATACACGTAAAGCCAACTTTACACAACTCAAGAACAGGTCAGAATGTACTTTCTGAAAGTCAGGAATATTTGGCGGCCATATTTAAAAAAAAATAATATCTTAGAAATAAACATTAGTGCTATGATTAAATTTAGCTAAACATTTAGTAACAATGAATCCTTCATTAGCAATGATCACTGCTTGATGGAGCATACAATTCCTACAGGACATTTAACAATAAACAGACATTCAATCCATTTGGACAAAGAAACATATTATAAACATTTATGTTGGAGAATGTCCTTACCACACAGTCAGGAATCAAACCATATGCCTCTTTGTAATCACCAGCTGGTCTGTTCGGGTTCAATCTGGATCAAATAATACCATAATTAGCACATTATTGAATAAAAAAGTAACCTTAGGTCATATATAATATATTGTGCTGATCATATAGGTTAATAAAATTGATTCCGATTTCTCGACTAAAAAAAAAATCTTTTTATACTTTTAAATGTAGATCATATGATGTAGGTGGTTGTTTTATAATAGACATGTTTACGTGCGTGTTGGTGTCAGAAAGTGTTTGTGTGAATGTGCATAGCAGTTAATAAGAACAAACAATATTTCTAGATATGAGCTTTCAATATATCTGTTATAATTTGCAAAACAGAAAATCAATTCCAAATAACATTCAAAATCATAAGTCGAAGAAGCACAGACAAATCTTGATCAATGGGAATCAAGATGAAAACCAACCAACTTTCTACGTAATACTATACAACAACCATACGATTGCGTAACACGATTCCACCTAATACCAAGGCTCTAAGGCGATTCAGAAAGCAGACCCTACCCGCTAGAGACAACCGTTATGTTGTTCATGCCAAGTTACATTCGGGAATAAACTGCAGACTTTGATAAAGTGTGTAGAACTTTGTATAGTTGATTTGACCAGTCTTTAACTGAAATGTTTATGGAAACATAAAATTTGTGTTTTATTTGCAGCTTTGGCGAGGTTCTAAAAAATTACGATTTTGTTGATATTCGCGAATCATATTAATTGTGTTGATTTATTGAAATTTCTCTAAATGACATGCTTGCAGGATCTCTATTTGTTGATCTTCTTGACTGTGTATATTCTCATTTTTTTTAAATATGCCTCGTTTTGAACTTTTGTGTCATTTATACAAAGGGTTTATAATTATCTAGACTTCTTAGAAATGAGAATTACCCTCTGACAACTGTTTTCTGGCGATTTACTTTCTTACTAAGAAAAGAATTTATGAAATGGAATTTTAGCGAGTGTTTTGTATGTTTTTTTTTTTCTCGAGTGTAAGTTCACTGCAATGCATCCTATCGCTGACTTACACAACTGGTATTACTAGCGAAACATAAACTGAGCCTATGATTTAATCCCTGGGATTTTGATTGGGTTTGTCTTACTCAATCCTAAATTTTGTTATTGATATTTCTGTGATTGTTGTTTGTCGTTTCGTCGTATTTCATTTTGGACATTGTGACGGTGTTGTCTGTTTTGATCCGACCTATGGTGTTTGCCTTTTGCTATCGTCTAAATCTTTTTTCAAGCAATATCATTTACTTAATGAGCAATACACACCACTGAACTGTTCATTCCTTGCATACCTTTCTTTTTCCAATCCTATCCAGCCAAAGTAACTATCATCTGGTTTGATACATTTCATTTTGTCATCAACAGATTGGTTAAAGAATTGTTTGGAGCTCTCTAGTGCTAACCTTAACTGAAAACATAATCAAACCTGAATCATATACTATGGTTACATAATCCAGAAATTGAAATCATTATTAATGTTACGGCCATATTTAAATGCATGTATGAATAGAAATACATTCTTTTCCTTTTTGTTACAAATTGAAATTATAATGAAAAAAAAAACAAACAAAAAACAGGAACAATTCTGTTTTTATGTAAAGCGTAAGGAAATTATATAGTTGGAAATAAATTTCAATCATATGATACCAGAAAATGACATGGATGCTTATATAATATGTAATAGTTTGTCAATCTATTAATTACGAATGATAGCCTACAGTTTTTTCTTCCAGTACAAATAAGAGATGCAAATTGAGGAGTATAATGTCAGTTGTGGTCAATTCCATCAGACAATCAAACAAAATAAATGTCAATTAGAATTATTTACTGCAGCAAGTATCGTTTGTATTTTCGAACCGATTCATACATTTGATATAAACAAAATTACATGAAGGAGTTTGTGGTGTATTAAGTCGACAGTAGTTTACATGGGTTGAAATCTGGTAAATTGATCAAGGCGACAACTGTAGTTTACATAAGTGTAAATCTCACAAATTAATTAAGAAGAAGTAGCAAATAGAAGCTGATGGAATCTCATAAACTCTAAAAGGAGAAAGACCAGAATTTGTCAGTCATTTTTTGAGGTACAATGATTTCACTCCAAGCCAGCAATTGCTGTATTATATGGTTGAAAAATAAGCCATACTTTTCTTGCTATTTATTTTACGTAATCGTTTCAAATAGAATAGAGAATGGAAACGGGGAAAAACATCCGAAGTCTTTTGATTGTAAGTAATGATCTGTACCTGTTCATCGGGAATTCCATGATTCCTTAGGTAACAGAACCCTATTTCCTCCAGAGCCTGGCACATTTCATTTCCCAATTGCCTTAGATGTTCGTCAGATACAGATTCATCATTTTCCACATCTATACCATATGTCTTGAAATCGATTACGGGTATTTTATCTGTCTCTGACATTTACTTTCTTCTGTCAAAAATAAATAAATGCATTTGTGTTTTGCGATCAATATAGTTTTTAGTCCGGATTGTAAACTTTCTAGCATAATTAATCGTTATCTAATTTGGATAAAATTTATGCAGTAGCTTTCTACAGACAACAGGTCAAGTTTGAAAATGAGCCTTGTACAAAAATTTAGTAGACGGGTAACATTGAAAATCTGTTGTGTTATTCATATTGCAATAATTTTTAAATTTACAGAACTATATTTTAAAAGTTTCGATCACAAAGTTTCGACATACATTTATACATTGTACATGTAAACGTCAGCTTGTTAGATTTCCCAAGTAAACTAAGAAAACCATGAAGATTTTGATAAATAAAGGCTAGGTTTTGAAAAGGTCCAAGAAAGTTGTAAAATTTCCCCAAAATTGTAAGAGACGTTATTATAATACCACATCTTTTTATTTTTATATTGTATGCTTTTTTGAGCAAGGAGAAAACCAACTTGAAAAAGACCTCGTTATGAAGGCATTTGCGATCGCCCTAAAAACAACTCCATATAAAATGTTTCCACCAAAAGAATGGTTATCATCAAATTAGATCAGAAGCTTATTTGGAAACTTTACTTTAAAGAAAACAAATGAATTGGTTGACAATTCTTATAAAGTGGAAACAATTGATGAAGCAGATGTAGGACATGATTCAGACTTCATTGAAGTACTACTGTCAAATATTGAATATATTGAACTCAAGATCAGTTGAGGACAATAATAACGAGAAATTTTTGCTTCTTCTTCTGTTTTTTATATGTGTTTATATATCAGAAATATTTGTGAATTTATCAACCAGAATCAAGCTATCGAACAATAAGCCAGCGAACAATAAGATACATCAAGCTAGCGAACAATAAGCCAGCGAACAATAAGAAAACGCGCCAACCTGATCATGCCTAAAAACCGAAGACTTGCAATAACATAAAATAAATGATTTTGAAGATTAGCGTCTGTCCAAGTTTAATAACAATCCATGAAGGTTTACCATATTATCATGTCAAAAAATTCAATCCCAGTTTGTCTGTAAATGTAAACTGTAAAAAACTAAGTCCATCTTTCAGAAAAATACTGAATTGAAAAAAATATATTTTCAAAAGTTTGCTTCAGACATTATCTCTTAATTTTTAGAAGGCTTCTGCCAAAGTTTTATAAAATTGTATGAAGGTTTGCCAAAGTAATTGATGTGTAACAAATTTTAACCCCAGACTGTAACTACTTGTTAACTGTAAAAAGATCGATATCCATTTATCAGTAAAATACGTAAAATGAAAATACATATTTAATTAATGAAGATTTTTTACATTTTTTTGCATTTTTGCCAAGTATCTTAAAAACTACAATCTATAGATAGAAATTTTAAAAAGCAAGAAAAAAATAGATTTACAATTATTTCGTAAAAAGAGACAGTTAAATACATGAGATGAGTTTGATTTTGACGAGTTAACTCTAATAAAGATATGACAGCACAAATTATTTAAGAAGCCTGTTTTTATAATTAGATTTCTTTGTAGCATCCCCTTGGTTATATAAAAACCAATGTTATGGTGACTGTAATTTGTTTGCTATCTACACCTTGTTAGATTATTGCTCTTTTTTTTTTTTTTTTTTTTAAACTACTTTAAAACAACATAAATATACAGATTGATTTTTTAATTTTTTCAGAAATTGCAAATTTTGACATTTTTCAACAGAATTATAGGAAAAAAATCACAATCAGTTTTTTGGTCTAAACATTCACTTATTATACCTTGGTATGCTTTGTTTTATATTTTACTTTATGAAAAAAATAGAAATATCGAAACACTTATAATGTATCAAGAGCAGAATGCTTAATTTGAAGAAAAAATAGATACTTTTGAAAGATTTAAAAAAATGCATTTTTTACTGAATTATCTCCTTTTGTACAATAGAAAATCAATATTTATGGCTTCATTTATTGTAATTGTATTATCTTCATTGATAGTTCAACTTACATTGTTAAGTATAATAATGGTTTTTACGGAAGCGTATTAGGGCCATCCTTTTTATTTATTTTTTTTTTTTCAAATTGTCGACATTAATCTTGGAATTATCAACTTTAATCTTTTATCTTGGGATTATCAACTTTAATCTTGGAATTATCATCTTTTATCTTGGAATTATCAGCATTAATCTTGGAATTATCAACTTTAATCTTGGAATTTCAAACTTAAATCTTGGAATTATAAACTATAATCTTGGAATTTCCAACTTAAATCTTGGAATTATCAACATTAAACTTGGAAATTTCAACTTTAATCTTGGAATTATCAACTTTAATCTTAAAAATGACTGATATATTACTTCTAGTCCTTAGTTTATTGTGTTTCTCCGTATACTTAATCTAATTATAATTATTTTCTCGGCTACATTTTTTGTAAAATGTTACAGAAAAATAGACGTGCATCTAAAGTCTTGTATAGTTTCGCGTAGACTTATATCCATGAAAAGGGGGAAAGGGGGGGGGGGGGGGGGGGGGGTGCTGTAACTTCCCAATAGTGGGTATACGTGGATATGCCAAAAATATTGGCCATAATTTAGCGAGATTTTATATTTATGACGCTACTTTTTAATGACATTCTATATTGATATGCATAGTTCTTACCAGACTCAAGCTAGCGACAAATTCCAGCGACCAATCAAGCTAGCGACCATATCTATTGACCACTAAAGTTAACAATGAGAATCAACACGTTAGAGAACCATTCAGAGATATGTCTGAAAATCACAAAATGACATTATGCTACAACGTTCTTCTGATAAAAAATACGTAATATATCGCTTTTAAATGTTTAATGGACCACATATGTCTACATTTGCAATACATAGGGGACGGAAGAATAAATACATATACTTTTTAGAAAGGATAAAGTAATTAATTTTGTATGAATTTTACTTTGGAATTCAATCTTTCTAACAATTCACGTAAGTAGCGTGGTTGCTCAAGGCTTATGCTTTAAATCAGTAGTTCAGTATTTGAAGATTTTATATTACAAGGCATTATACACTTATATGAAATCGAGATCTTCGTTCCTTGCCGAAAAGGAAAAAAAAAAAAAAAACAAGCAAAAAAAAAAAAAGTTAAAAAAAAAAAAAGTATCTATATTGTTTGTTTGCGATACTTTAAGCTAAGATTTTTAACGTGTAACACTAACTACATATAGTATAGATGAATTAATAAAAGGCCATCTTAGTACATAACGGCTAAATCAAGCCTCAAGATTCAGAGGTGTAATGCGAATTGTAGAACATATAAAAATAATCTTAGTACATTAGTATAGATGTCAATTTACGGTGAGATAAATAAAAAGTTAAACTGAACAAGAAAGACGCTATATGCGGTAGATAAAATCATATAACAGCTTTCTATACTCTCGGCATCCTCAAATATCGTGTATTTCCTTAAAACCCTTTAGGTAAAGAATTACTGTATCGGCCCTGTCAAAAACAACATACAAGAAAGTAGTACATATTTCAAACAAAATAGTTCCTACGCATATAGCTAAAACTTTGTCAATAAGTAATATATTTGGTTTATTTTGGTATCAAATGAAACCTTAATAACTTGTAATCACTAAAGGACCATTGTTGAAAGTCTCTTTTGAATAAAAAAAAAAAAAAGAAATTATAAAGCAGGGCATATTTGCCCTGTTGCTGAGATTTTGCTCAGTACCTGTTTTTGTACTTCCAAATTTCCGGGAACCAGTGCGCACATAAAGTTATGTTGATTTTTTATAGGAGAAGTAAGGGTAAAGTATAATTGACAAACAATTACCGTCTCATTATTTGAAATTAGGGCAATAATTATTAGTTTTACCCTATTGGATAAAAGGACCGGGGCACTTTCCCACCCGGGCATTTTCATGAATAAAAGGGCCTGGGACAAGCTTTCAATTCCACTAGGTGTGGGTAAAAACTTTGCCGTAGGGAACTGTACACAAAGACTGAAAAATGTGCCCATACCCATTATTGATAGGTAACTTAGACTTTGGGTGGCCAGTGAAGTCTTCAGGTGCACTTTCCCACCCAGGTATTCAAATGAGTTGAAGATATGGATATTAGCTTTCAATCTAACCACCTGGAGTCAAGATATTTGCCATGGGAAACGGGAGGATAGCGATTCCTGCCACCACCCCTGTGCCGAAAAATGAGAAATTTGATATGTTGTTGTGAGCTTCCAGTGCACTTTCCCACCCGGGCATTTTCATGTATAAAAGGGCCTGGAACAAGTTTTCAATTCAACTAGGTGTGGGTAAAAACTTTGCCGTAGGGAACTGTACTCAAAGACTGAAAAATGTGGCCATACCCATTATTGATAGATAACTTAGACTTTTGGTGGCCTGTGAAGTCTTCAGGTGCACTTTACCACCCAGGTATTCATAGGAGTTGAAGATATGGATATTAGCTTTCAATCTAACCACCTTGAGTCAAGAACTTTGCCGTAGGGAAGTGGGAGTAAAGCGACAGCTGCAACCACCCGTAATGGACAAAAATTCGAAATTGGTTATGTGGTTGCCAGCTTCCGGTGCACTTTGCCATCCGGGCATTTTCATGAATAAAAGGGCCCGGGACAAGCTTTCAATCCCACTAGATGTGGGTAAAAACTTTGCCGTAGGGAACTGTATAGAAAGACTGAAAAATGAGCCCCTACCCATTACTGATAGGTACCTTAGACTTTGTATGGCCAGTGAAGTCTTCAGGTGCACTTTCCCACCCTGGTATTCATACCAGTTGAAGATATGGGTTATAGCTTTCAATCTTACCACCTGTTGTCAAGAACTTCACCGTAGGGAAGTGGGAGTTAAGCGACAGCTGCCACCACCCGTAATGGACAAACATTCGAAATTTGTTTATTTTGTTGTGAGCTTCCGGTGCACTTTCCCACCCGGGCATTTTCATGAATAAAAGGGCCTAGGACAAGCTTTCAATCCCACTATAATTATTTT